TTACACTGGTTTCAAGCTCTTGTCCAGCACACCAGCAGTAACCTCATTGCTTATATTGAACTTCAGCTAGATACCTGAAAAGAAAACCGGCTTTGAGTACGTTAAACGATTAGCTATAAAGCTGCTGCAAAATACCCAAGAATAATTGTTTTCACTACTTGCTTTGCAAAAACTAATTCTAAAACTTTTGCCTCAAATCATTTTGAACACTTGAAACTTTATATATATACATAATATCAAAAAATCAGTAGGTATAAGATTTGTTTTTTTGCGCTCTATCTAAATCTTGATATATAATTTTAAAATACAAATATTTAGAAGGTTTAAAATTAAATTGAAGAAACTAGGAAAATTTTGTTTACACTGGTTCTAAGCTCTTTAAATACACAGCTTAAATATGTTGTTTTTTATCATAACAGTCAAAAAGCAATTTCTATAGAACTGAAAAAAAATAAAAAAAAAAGTCAGGTGAGTAAAATTTTATTATTTTTATGGTTATTGTTGTCATAATTTTAGCCGTTCTAATTTGGTTGTTTTCTCTTATTTCCAATTGGTTTTTTTTAGGCCATTTGATGTTTTCTGATAGAAGGAATAACAAAAACAATGTCTTAGGCGTATTATAGCGTAAACTAAAAGAATTTCTTTTTTTTTTTTGCGAAAGAGGTGGATTAATTGAAATTGCAAAGTTTTGAAGAAAAAAAAAAACCAATATATAACAAAGGAAAAAAAACCGTTAAAGGAAAATTGTGTGCTAATCAGAGATCAATAACTGAGGTTATTGCACTCTGAATATTGCATTATTATGCCAATTTCTTTGCTCGACATTTCCATGTGGTTAAGTTTTTAAATATTCGCCTATTTACTGAACTACTACTTCCTCAAATCAAAACGATATTATTCTAAACTTGAAAATTTTTTAATTTATGAACTTTTCTAAATTGTTTGTCTAATTTTTTTTCAACGCAACATCGATAGTGTTTCTTCATCTTTTGTTTTGATTCAGTTTCAGAAGACATCTGGCATTAACGTAGGTGGATCAAGCATCTAGCAAATACACAAATACTGCCTACTATTTATGACAAAATTGGCGTATAATAGCAGATGCTAAATATTACTTATGTATAATTTAAAAAGGCGTTACAAATTAAGAAAGTCTGTTTGGTTAGGCGTTAGTGTAGAATAATTTATTGATGACTTATTCACCAATAATAGTTGAATAAAATTATTAAGACTAAAATTGCCAAAGATTACTGAACATTCTTAAAAATTTGTGAATGTGGCTTAAATAATGTGTTGTTCCTGCTGTCAATAATTTTAGTCTAGAAAAATCAGACTTAAGATTTGGCTGCATATTTGTTGTTGCTGTCGTTGTATCAGCTAATCAATACATACAAATCTTCTGCTATTATTGGTAATTATACTGTTGTTGTCTGTTCTGAAAAAACGTTATTTAAGCAAAAAAAAAAAAAAAAA